AATGATGGTGCAAAGAAGTTTTTTTTACATAAAATCAAGAATATTGTGGACAACCCTGACCATCCTCTTCATCAGACTGTCATAGAAAGACAAAGTGTCTTCAGTCGGAGGCTTCTTCACTGTAATACAGACGCTACAGAAGATCTTTCCTGCCCACAGCCATCAGCATCTACAATAATTCTTTAGTTAAATGAGTTACAACAACACCTAATTTCCCTCTGGGATCAATAAAGTATTTTTGAATTGAATTGAATTGAAGACATGCTGAAGTGGGAGTGTCAGAAACGGTAGGAGGTTCTTAAAGAAAGATAGGCCATTTCCAACACATTTAGATAGACTTTATACAATTGAAAGTAGCATAGGTACTTGATTGTGGTGTAAAATTTAACTATGTGCCTGGAAAGTAGGGCTAGGCGATAATTTGTGATTTATCGAGAAAAAATTCGGGTTGATCACAGTGATCAGCTGTGAGCTTCTTTACTCAATCAAACATGGCGGAAATGTGCGCGACAACAGCCAATCAGAATCCAGCTTCTCCTGCTCCACTTCCGTTTATAAGTTGGTAAGGAAACGCAGTAATCCAGTATAAAACGCTGAATCTCACGGAGTTTGCTTACTCGGGCGAGTTTCTGAGGTATTTTGGCCGCTGTTGTTTCCTGTACCTGCTGTTACCTGCTAACAGGCATGTGAGGTATCGAAAGGAAACTTCAAGATTCTATGATTTACACATAAATGTTTTTTTCTTTGTAAATACCTTTTTAAATACCTTGCAAAAATAATTTCATGTTCTACTGAACCACAGCTATATTAATGAAAGTGAAATAACAGCCATTTTTTTCCTGTAGCTATTTATTTTATTTTTTTATTTTTCGGTCACTTTTTAGGTTAACAAAAAATTGTGATATTAATTGAGATCGGACAGTATGAAAAAATTAATCTTGATCATTTTGTTTTTGCCATATCCCCCAGGCCTACTGGAAAGTATACCCCCCGTTTAAAGTTTCTGCTAAATATGATGCTCAGCTACTACCACAACACATTTTAGCTTAATATTTGTAAAATCGACTGAGTTGTTTTCGTTTTGTTTGCTACATTCACTTTGCTGTGGCGACATTCTTGAGTTTTCTTGGCACTAAAATGTAATCACATGCGTGCGCAGACATTAGCAAATGATCACTTTCATTGAGGTCCATTTAGTTCAAAAGAACAAACATGCAGGAACGTTACTGCTCCGTCTCCTCCTTCGACAGCCAGTGAAAATAAAAGTGCAAAGATAGAACATCTTATTTTTTCAGTGCAGTCTAAGCAAGATCTAATAATAATAAAAAAAAACCCAGCCTGAGACTATGACTAATACATTAAGATAATCCCAGAACACTTTGATGAGAGAATATTCTTTTTTATGCTTTCTGGCTCCCTCCCGGCATAAAACCTCCTACACTGACCTTTCTCTTCTGACGTCGTGCCTTTCACATTCTTGCCATGGCCTCATCTGCTCCGAGCTCGAGCTGCTTTCAGTTCTGGAGCAAGATTGGATAATAAAACATTAATGTTGTTTTTCATTTAACCCATCTTTTAGCCTTGCTATTCACTTAGAAAGYTAAAAAAGGCAAGAACCAATCAATCTGCAGCCATGTGTTGTGCTGGGTGCTAAATGTTTAGACACACATTTTGTCTCTTTTATGTCTTCCTCGCGGTTTAGTCTGCTCAGTTTTAGAGTTTAACACCCCTTTTTTATATTTCTTCTTAGTTTAGTTTAATTTTCCCAGGTTACATCTCCTCTCAGCTGATGTCCCTGTGCACCCATAAGGACTGCCCCCACCCCTTTCCTTATTTGAGCATCCGCGTGTGTGTGTTCATGAGTGTGTTCTGTCCGTGCGCTCTAAGGTCCCCCAGCTGGACTGATGGCCTGGCCGTCATTAATCTCTGTCACCACCTAAAGAGCCACTTAAGATGATGTAGGACCTGTCTGCACGCATACCTTCACTACTGTCGGAGGCTGTGATGCAGCCGAGAACACACACAAACACAATCCCCAGTCAAGCCGAGTTAGCACAAAAAAACGTAGCTTTTGTCGTGATTATGCAATCTACAAGACAATTGTTTTTAGATTATTTTGTCATTTAGAGCGACAGCTGGGGTACACTGAAGTGAAAGTTCTGTGGAAAGGTAACTTTTTTTGAATGACGTCAGTTTGACGAGTTTATTTCTGACAAGATAATCAACAGTGTTGAGGCTTATAAAGTAGCATTTGCATAAACTGTTTGGAAATTTATTGAGAAGTATATATAT